TCGATTTTTAAATTTTTTGATTTTTAGATTCGTTGATGTTTTGATATTTCAATTTTGTAAATTTACAATTTTTCGAATTTTTACATTTTAGATTCTTCAATTTTTTGTTGTTTCGATTTCTCAGTTCTTTGATCTTTTACCTTCTCGTTTTTAGCTTTTTCGATTTTTCGGAATTAATTTTTTGATTTCGCGATTTTACAATTTTTCAATTTCCTTTCCTCGATTTCTCGGTTTTTTGATAATTCATCTTTTCGATTTTTCGATTTTCCCGATTTTCCAATTTGTCAACGTTTCAATTTTGGGATTTGTGTATTTAAATTTTTCGATATTTTATTTTTTCAATTGTTGGCGTTCATAGATTTTTGAATTCTTCGATTTCTCATTTTCTCGATTAATCAATCGTTTTTTTAATTTTCCGATTTTTCGATTTTTTGTCTTTCCCATTTCTCGAGCTCTCAATTTTTCGATTTCTCAAATTTTCAATGTTGAAGTTTTGGGATTTTTCAATATGTATTTCGATTTTAAAATTTTTGGATCTTTCGACTTCGTTTTTTTGATTTTCTACATATTCGATTTTTCAGAATTTTGCGTCTTTTTAGATCTTACATTTTTGGATTTTTCATTTTTTTGTTGTTTCGATTTCTCAGTCTTTAGATTTTTTACCTTCCCGTTTTTAGTTTTTCGATTTTTCGGAATTAATTTTTCAGTTTTTCGATGTTTCGATTTTCACGTTTTCGGTTTATCGTTTTTTTAATTTCAAATTTTTCAATTTTGAATTTTCTCATTTTTCGATGTTTCGTCTTTCCCATTTCTCGATTTTCCAATTTTCGATTTCTCAAATTTTCAGTGTTGAAGTTTTGGGATTTTTCAATATGTATTTCGATTTTTAAATTTTTAGATTTTTCGATTCATTGACGTTTTAATTTTTCAATTTTTTAAATTTTCAATTTTTCGAATTTTTAAATTTTAGATGTTTAATTTTTTTGTTGTTTCAATTTCTCCCTCTTTCGATTTTTTGCCTTCTCATTTTTAGATTTTTCGGAATTAATTTTTCAGTTTTTCGATATTTCGATTTTTTTCGATTTCGATTTCTCGAATTCTCGGGTTTTTAATAATTTTTCTTTTCGATTTTCCCGATTTTCCAATTTTTCAACGTTTCAGTTTTGGGATTTTTCAATATGTATATCGATTTTTAAATTTTTAGATTTGTCGATTTTGTTTTTTGATTTTTAACATATTCGATTTTTCAAAATCAAAAAAGTGAAATCGAAAAATTGAAAAATCAAAAACCTGGAAAATCAAAAAATTAAAGAATTGAAGAACAGGAAAATCGAAACACTCGAAGGTCAAGAAATGGGAAAATCTAAACATCGATTAATTGAAAAATCGAAAAATTGAGAGTTCATAAAAGTCAAATTTGAAAAATTAAAAAATCTAAAATTTGACAAAATGACAATTGAAAAATAGAAAATCTAAAACCGGGAAGTCGAAAAATCAAAAGATTAAGAAATCGAAACATTTGAAAAATTCGAAAACTTGAAAAACTGAAATATTGAAGAACTGAAATGAAAAATCGAGAAATCGAAAAATCTAAAATTTAAAAAAATAAAAAATCTAAAATTTAAAAATGGAAAAATTGAAAAATCCAAGAAGTAAAAAAGCGACACATCGAAAACTCCAGCAGCCAAAAATCGAAAAGTCGAAAAATCAAAATATTGAAAAATCCCAAAACTGAAATATCGAAAAACTGAAAAATGGAAAACCTGAAAAGTCCGATACCTGAAATATTCAAAAACTGAGAACCTAAAAAGTCGAAAAATTGAGCAATAAAAAAATCGAAAAAGTGAAGTCGAATAATTGAAACCTTAAAAAAATAAAAAAATAAAAAGTCAAAAACCTGAAAAATCGAAAAATTAAAGAATTGAAGAACAGGAATATCGAAAATCTGGAAAGTCAAGAAGTGGGAAAATCAAAACATGGATTAATTGAAAAATCGAAAAATTGACAGTTTATAAATGTCAAATTTGAAAAATTGAAAAATCGAAAATTTGAAAAAACGACAATTGAAAAACAGAAAATCTGAAACCGAAAAAAAAAACAAGTATTTATTAAGATAAGATCGACTTTGGCAAAAGACAAACATATCCTCTAAGAAAAAAGGGGGGGTGGGCGGGGCTAAAACTTGCTAAGATAAAACTGAACGATATTAAGAGTAATCACTGGAATGAAGAGGGGGTGGGTGGGTGGGGCTATTGCTAGATTATAAAAGATTCTGTTGGAAAAAGTTAAATTTAGCCCTGCCCACCCACCCGTTGTTTCATTTTTTCTAAGATAGGACTGAACAATATTAAGAGTAATCACTGGAATGAAGAGCGGGTGGGTGGGCGGGGCTATTGCTTGCTTATAATATTCTGTAGGAAAAAGTTAAATTTAGCCCCGCCCACCCACCCGTTCTCTCATTTTTTCTTCAGAAATAAGAAATAAATGTGATAGTCGAAAAATCGATTGATTAAGACATCAAAACATTTGAAAAATTCGAAAACTTGAAAAACTCAAATATCGAATAACTGAAATGAAAAATGAAGAAATAGAAAAATCTAGAATTTTAAATATGTATTGAAAAATGAAAATATCAAAAAACTGAAAAATCTAAAAAAATTGAAAAAACGACAATTGAAAAACAGAAAATCCAAAACCGGAAAGTCGAAAAATCGATTGATTAAGAAATCGAAATGTTTGAAAAATTGAAATATGGAAGAGCTGAAATGAAAAATCGAGAAATCGAAATAAAATACCAAAAAATTGAGAAATCTACAATTTAAAAATGGAAAAAGTAAAAAGTCGACACATCGAAAAATCCAGAAGTCGAAAATGGAAAAGTGTAGAACAGAAATATTGAAAAATCCCAAAACTGAAATATCGAAAAACCGAAAAATGAAAGAAAAATTGACGAATCGAAAAACTGAAATATCCAAAAACTGAAATATCCAAAAACTGAGAATCTGAGGAATCGAAAAATTGAGAAATCAAAAAATCAAAAAAGTGAAGTCGAAATATCGAAACCTTAAAAAAATCGTAAAATTAAAAAATCAAAAAATTAAAGAATTGAAGAACAGGAAAATCGAAACACTCGAAGGTCAAGAAATGGGAAAATCAAAACATCGATTAATTGAAAAATCGATAAATTGAGAGTTTATAAAAGCCAAACTTGAAAAATTAAAAAATCGAAAATTTGAAAAAACGACAATTGAAAAAATCTAAAACCGAAAAAAAACTAGTATTTATTAAGATAAGATCGACTTTGGCAAATGACATATCCTCTAAGAAAAAAAGGGTGGGTGGGCGGGGCTAAAACTTGCTAATTTAAAACTGAACAATATTAAGAGTAATCACTGGAATGAAGAGGGGGTGGGTGGGCGGGGCTATTGCTAGCTTATAAAAGATTCTGTTGGAAAAAGTTAAATTTAGCCCCGCCCACCCACCCGTTATTTCATTTTTTCTAAGGTAGGACTGAACAATATTAAGAGTAATCACTGGAATGAAGAGCGGGTGGGTGGGCGGGGCTATTGCTTGCTTATAATATTCTGTAGGAAAAAGTTAAATTTAGCCCCGCCCACCCACCCGTTGTCTCATTTTTTCTAAGATAAGACTGAACAATATTAAGAGTAATCTCTGGAATGAAGAGCGGGTGGGTGGGCGGGGCTATTGCTTGCTTATAATATTCTGTAGGAAAAAGTTAAATTTAGCCCCGCCCACAAACCCGTTCTCTCATTTTTTCTTCAGAAATAAGAAATAAATGTGATAGTCGAAAAATCGATTGATTAAGAAATCAAAACATTTGAAAAATTCGAAAACTTGAAAAACTCAAATATCGAAGAACTGAAATGAAAAATGGAGAAATCAAAAAATCTAAAATTTTAAATATTGAAAAATTAAAATACCAAAAATTGAGAATTCTAAAATTTAAAAATCGAAAAAGTAAAAAGTCGACAGGCAGAAGTCAAAAATGGAAAAGTCGAGAGGCAGAAATATTGAAAAATCTCAAAACCGAAATATCCAAAAACCGAAAAATGAAAGAAAAACTGACGAATCGAAAAACTGAAAAATCCCAAAACTGAAATATCCAAAAACTGATAATCTAAAGAATCGAAAAATCAAAAAAGTGAAGTCGAAATATCGAAACCTTAAAAAAATCGAAAGAGTGAAAAATCAAAAACCTGCAAAATCCTAATATCGAAAAATTGAATAATAAGTAAGCTGAAAAATCCCAAAACTGAAATGTCCAAAAACTGAGAAATTAACAAATTGAAAAATTGAGAAATCGAAAAATCGAAAAAGTGAAGTTGAAAAAATAGAAAAATTGAAAAACCAAAAAACTGAAAAATCAATTAATTGAAAAATCGAGAAATAAAGAGTGTATAAAAGTCAAAAATTGAAAAATCGAAATATTTAAAAATCGTCAATGTCATTCAGTCGTCACATAGTACAAAAAAAAAGCAACCTTTAGATGTTTCTAACCTAAATATTTGACGGTCATTTTTAACTTTTACATTTGACACTTACGCGAATGTAACGTAAGCTGGAATTTTGTAAGCTTGACATTCCAGCTGTCTGAAATAATGACAATAAAGCATAGACACATTAAACTATTTGACATGACAGAAAAGTGATATTTGAAATTTTTTGTCGGAAACTGTATTTCAATTACAATATAATACTTCAAGGTCATGTAGCCAGGAAAACTTTACCTGGGACGCGCATTCGGCTTTAGTAGAGGGGTGGACAAAGGGTCCAGGTATAAGTCTACTCCTACAAGTCCCTTTTGGTTACTAGTTTCCAGTCTGCAGTTAACCTCTGAACGTTTAGCTCAGGTAAGTACATCCAAAAAAGACCAGTATAATGTGTGACCGGGATTAAATAGTCCCGTTTTCACATTTATTGGAGCTTTAACCACATTATTCGCCACGCTGCTCCACCAGGGAATTTACTTTCTCCCCCAGATACTTACGTCAAAGTCAAATAAAACAATAAAAGCGCAAAAACAAGGAAACTCGGTGAAGGTGAACTGGAAACTGTGTTATTTATAGAATGAGCCTTAAAGACCGTTCGATTCCCGTATTTATTTATCCGAGTGAGTTAACCTTCTTCGTAGGAAGCCAAATCACGCACAAGCAGCTGCTGACACTGTATAATCCGTACGAGTTTCCCGTAAAATACCAAGGTAAAACGAGTGTGTTTGTCGTATTGTGGTAAACAAAGCGTGTTTTCAGTGTATGCCAACACGGCGGACAGGTACGGGGTCGTGGACCCCAAAGGAACGATTGCCCCTCATTCGTACATCGATCTGCTGGTGCGACACAATGCCCCGTTTCCATCCAATTGCCACAATAAGGATAGGTTTATGATTACTATGCAAGATGCGACGACGAATCAAGTGAGTAGGGTTGTTAATCCCGGAATTGGGTGATAATTGTGGTTAAAGTTACTAGGGAGACGGTGTGTCCCGTCTACGCTTTTACCAGGGGAGAAAGACACCAGCAGCGTTGGCGATGACAGCTCTCATTCCTACACAGCGTGTGAATCTAGTCCTATTAGAGAGAGAGGCAGAAACTATGAGTACGTAAACTTAGCTTTTGCATGTCTTTTTAATTAGTGTGGTTATGTTTCAGGCCGGACTCCTCTGTTAAATACTACTTTATGATGTTGTCTGTGTTATTTATATTAGTATTGATTATGCCTACGAAGTGTGATGAACCGGAAGCAACCAGCATTCCCTCTTATTTGCACGTCAGTGTTGCTGTTAAAATTATCACTGCTTACGTTTTAGGACTTATCACAATGTCGTTGTTGAAACCATGTTGACATATCTATGTTTATCGTTTAAGAACAAATGCGTCAAATGTTAAAGAGCTGATTTTTTTTAGGATAAGTTTTGTATCTTGAGACCTGATTTTAGTATTTCTCAATTTGTGCGTTAATGAGGGTTATGTTTATATACCAAATTTGCTCATTCAATTTATTATTTATTGTGACTTCCTATGTAATTTTTGTGATGGAGATTATATTTTTAATACTTCAGCTATTTTTGGTTAAGTTAGGGTATTTGTATTGTGATTTTATTAATATAGGGTTGACACGAAACGTCGGTTGGGAGGGTTGTGCGAAGAGATTCGATTTGACTCTTTGATTAAAGTTATATTTTACTACAAATTAACTAGTTTGTAATAAAATGATTCAAAAATATGGTTGTTTTTTATTTTGTTGTGGTTACAATGACTTGATAAAACAATGTGTTAAAATTAAGTGGTGTGTTGAGGCTATTGTTTGTATTCCTTTGTTATTATTATTAAATTTAAAAACTGATTAGATAACAACATCGGAGAATTAAAAGGTATCTAACTGTCGGCTTATAACACATCGACCACAAGATGGCGCTGATGTTGGTGTTTTTAATATGACTAACGCCATTTTGAGATAAATGTCATTGTTAAATTAGACAGAACCTCACTTTTTTTGAACTATTTAATAATTACTGAAAAGTTGTCATTGAATTTTTGGTGATCAAAGAAGTAAAGTTATGTTAACGTTTTGTAATCAACCGACGCCAAAATACGTATGAAATCCGATTAAAAAGGTGACAAGAATGACGACATTTTGAATTTAAATTCAAAACACCAATAAGCAGATTTCAAAAATTTCCAAGAAATGCAAGAAATATGAGAAGCTTAAAAACTCGAGAAATTCAAAATATCAGGAAATAAAAAAACGAAACAATTATTAACTTATCCAAATTATCGTGAAAAGGAAATAACTCCAAGGAAATCTGTTGCGATAACTCGAAGGACCAATTGTAATAAATACAATAAAAATACGGTGGCGCTTGAATATGTATATTTGTACGATGTTAACAGTCTCAAGTCCAAATTCTTACTCTCCTATTTTTACAAACTATACCTAATTATAAAGACTTGGCCCCACAAAAGGGTGCCGCACCCTCACATTGGGTGATTAAGAAATTCGCTGCAGTCGGGTGAGAGAGCCGCCGTGCAGGTGGCTCGAACATACTCCCCCCGTTGAAGTATTCAAAAGTTATAAATCATATTAAAATGTGCCCTTAAATTAGAAATTCACATAGTTAAAACAAATAACACTAAATTATAAGGACATAATTAAAAATAGCATAAATGACAAAAGGTACAAAACACAATTTTTACAAACACACAATGAAGACATCACCAATATGACCAAAGAGCATAAAATACAACTCCAAACATTATATTAATGAAAAATAAGATATATACAGTATACAGCGAGAATAACGCAATGACAATTGTTTGGTAATGAAACATAATATAATTTTTATAGAATTTTTTGATGCGAACATTAAACACAATTTTTTATTTTCACTATTTGTTTGAATTCACGGTATTTTACGTTTCACTGTCTTTTTATTTTAATCAACAACTTCGTCCACTGGGAGCACACAAATCCGATTAACCGCACGTTTCACTACACCGCTGCTCGTCTTCAGCGACACTACTCTCACTACGTTGTCTTTTCCTGGGTGCAGCTCTACGACACGGCCTAGTCTCCACATCAGCGGCGGGGTGTTCTCGTCACGTAAAACCACCATGGATCCTTTGCTTATGGAATTCGCGTTTCGTTGACTCCAACGGTTCCGTGGCTGTAGTTGGGTCAGATATTCTGCAGTCCACCTTCTCCAGAACGTTTGACGCAGCTGCTCGACTCGCTGCCATCTCGTCAATCGGTTTTCTTTTATCGCAAGTAGGCATGGTTCAGGTAGATCGGTTAATGCAGATCCGATGAGGAAGTGACCCGGCGTTAGTGGTTCCAAGTCATTGGGGTCATTGCTCAAAGGTGTTAAGGGGCGAGAATTCAGAATTGATTCAATTTGGGTAAGAAGTGTATACATCTCTTCTGCCGTAAGCAAAGAGGTTCCCGCTATTCGTTTGTAATGGTGCTTAAAAGATTTGACCCCTGCTTCCCAAATACCACCCATATGTGGCGAATTTGGTGGAATAAATTGCCATTTAATTCCCTGCTCTGTGATATTATCAATTACTGATCTTTGAAATTCGTCACTATCGAACAATTTCTTTAAATATTTTAGTTCTCGATTCGCGCCTACAAAATTAGTACCGTTATCCGAGTACATATGTAAAATCTTACCGCGTCTGGATATCATACGTTTCAGACAATTAAGAAAAGATTGTGACGTATAATCGAGTACTAAATCTAAATGAATAGCTTTTGTGACGAGGCAAACAAAAACTACGACATAACACTTGATGCTTCTTTTTCCGCGACCACGTCCTTCTTTTATCATGATAGGACCCGCGTAATCTACGCCACAATTTGAAAATGGTCTAGATGGATTGACTCGATCAAAAGGTAAATTACCCATCAATTGTTCATAGGTAATGGGTTTCACTCGACGACATTTTACGCAATTGTGTATTATCTTTTTGATAGTTGTTTTTCCACATACGGGCCAAAATTGCCTTCTTACTGCCGCCAGAGTTGCCTGCGTTCCTGCGTGTAGTGTGTCCGTGTGTGCGTCACGTATGATAATTTTTGTCACATAATGATTTTTTGGAAGGAGGATTTGATGTTTCATATCGTAATTTATTTTTGCGTTTTGCAAGCGCCCTCCCACTCTCAAAATGCCGTTGTCATCCATAAATATATTTAGCGATTTCAAATGGCTATTGTTGTTTATGAACCCGTTGCTTTGCAGCTCTTTTATTTCGGATGAAAATTGATCTTTTTGAACTAACTTTATGGTATTAATATGCGCTGCGTCTAATTCTTCCACCGATAATTCACCTGAATAATTACACTGTTTTTTCTGCAATTTATTAATAAATCTGTAACAGTATGCTACAATGCGTTTTAGTCTTTTATATGTACTAACTCTCGTAAACAATGAAGAAAGCGAAGATTCGTCTGAAGTGCAATGTGAAACTAGTGAAATTTTGCGCTCTTCAGGTAAATTATTATTTAAAACGCTTTTTGGTACTGGCCATTCGTTTAAATCTTTAGTTAAAAAAGACGGACCGTGCCACCATAAGTCACATGATTTTAGCTCACTTGGGTCCATTCCTCTTGAAATTATATCTGCGGGATTTTCGTTGCTGATTACATGACGCCATTTACAATTATTAGTAAGAGTTTGAATTTCTGACACACGGTTAGCAACAAATGTTTGCCAACGATTTGGTGATGCCGCTATCCAAGATAATGCAATTGTTGAATCGCTCCATAAGTAACAGTCGTCAAAATTAATTTTCATCGCATTTTTGACTTTAGACATTAATTTGGCAAGTAAAGTAGCGGCGCATAATTCTAATCTAGGTAGGGTAATTTGTTTAATTGGAGCAACTCGTGTCTTCGAACAAAGAAGTTTCACAGTATGCGAATTTGATATATCAGTCGTTCTTATATAAACTGCCGCCCCGTAGGCCTTTGTACTCGCGTCGCTAAATCCGTGAATTTGTATTTTTTGATACGGATAATCTGCAACTACCTTCCGAGGAATTTGGATTTCATTTACATGCTGTAGTTCAGCGAGAAAGTGCTCAAATTGTTTATTTAGTTCAGGTGGCAATTCGTCATCCCAGTCGGATTGTAATTGCCATAATTTTTGTAATATTAATTTTGCTGACACTAGGACAGGACCTAAGATGCCTATGGGGTCATACACCGTGGCTATTGTGCTTAAAACGGATCGTTTAGTAATTTTAATTGGATGTTGTAGTTTGAAGTCATATTTTAAATTATCATTCGCACAATCCCAACTTAGGCCTAACGTTTTTGTTTGCATATTTTCATCTAAACGCACGAGTGCAGTGTTGTCACTGTGACACTGTGGCAGAAGAGCGTCATTATTAGAAGCCCACTTTGTGATTTCGAAACCGCCACTACCTAAAATATTTATTAAATTATCGCGAAGTGTGATTGCTTCGGTTTCGTCATTTGTACCCGTTAGAAGATCATCCATGTAAAAGTCTTCCAAAATGACCCTACTGGCGTGTGGATAAGAGTCCGCGGTTTCTACTGCTAATTGTCGCAAACATCGCATGGCTAAATAAGGCGCACAAGCCATGCCATATGACACTGTTTTCAAGCAATATATCCGTATGGGTTCGTCTGGATTTGAACGCCATAAAACTTTTTTATATTTCCAGTCGTCTGGTGCCACCCAAATTTGCCGAAACATTTTTACAATATCAGCAGATAGCACAAACTGGTATTGTCTGGACCTCACCAATAATGAAAATATATCGGTTTGAAGATTTTGTCCCGGTAGTAGATAATCATTGAGACTAAATCCGGATGACGACTTTGTGCTGGCATCAAAAACGGCTCGTACTTTTGTCGTTAGGCTCGAATCCTTAATCACACCGTGATGCGGCAGGAAACAACCTTCGTGAATATTGTGATCTGTTGCCAGTTGCATATGATTAAGTGCAATGTAATCGGCCATGAAAGTGCAATATTGATTCCTAAATTCATAATTGTTTTCAAATTTCTTTTCGAGAGACCTAAATCGCTTGTAGGCTATTTCCTTTGTAGAACCTAAATTGGGAGGATTTGCCTTAAATGGTAAGCGCACAATAAATTTCCCATTGGGATCTCTGCTGTGTTGTTTTACGAATAAATTTTCGCACAACTGATCCTCAGAACTTAAGTTTTCGATACGGTTGTCATAATTTTCGACCTCCCAAAATTTTGTTACTTGTTTGTCTAAATGTTCTAATGCACAGGTGTTTAAATTACCGCAAAATATACTATTAATCTGGATTGCTGCCGCTGTAAATGGTCCACCCAATATCCACCCCAAACATGTGTTATGAAGAAAAGTCTGTTCGTTCGACAGTTTCATCCGTCCGTCTCGAAGCAGTTCCCAAAACAAAGCCGCGCCAATTAAAATGTCAATAGGACTTGAAATGTTGTAATTAGGATCTGCTAAATTTAAATTTTGGGGAACCGGAATCTCGGATTTGTCGAACGTATCTATGGGATAATTTCGATTTATATTGGGGACTACCAAACATGCAATTTTTCCGGTATAATTATCGTGCAATGATTTAAAGTGAAGCGTAGTAGCATGTTTAATTTCATTGTAACTACCACAGACCGAACTTATGCCTGCATGCACAGATTTTGTAGTTAAGTGTAATCTTTTACACATTTCTTCCGTAATTAAATGTTGTTGTGATCCTTGATCAAGCAACGCTCTACAGGTGTAAACCTTTCCATTTGAATCTGAACACTGAACCAATGCTGTTGACAAAATTACTTGAACATTAGAATTTAATTGATAATTGTTTATGCTAAGGTTTGCAGTCTGACTCTGATTATTATAATTTGGACCTCTTGATTGATGTAGTAACGAATTGTGTCGGTTTGAACATATCTTGCACGTCATAGAACGGCAAGTTCTTGAATCATGACCACCTTTTAAACAATTGAAGCATATTTTCCATCTTTTAACGTGCTCAATGCGCTCGTTTATGCTGAGTTCGAGGAATTTGGGACAGTGAAATAAATTGTGATGGCCTTTACACATAACGCACGCGATTGTATTTTGATTATTAACAAATTGATAGTTTTTCCTTACAGGAACTTCTGCATTCTGTGTTTTCTTTATAGGTGCAGAGTTCACGTTATGGTTACTTAAATTGAATTCCATTGATTCTAGTGTTAAACATCGTTGTTTTAAAAATTCGACCATTTGTTTCCACGTTGGCAATTCATTGGCCTTTAAACGTGACTCCCATTCGCGTTTAGTTAAAAAATCAAATTTTGTTGTTGTTAGATATATTAATAGGGCATCCCATGACGTTACGTCGACATTTTGTGTTGTTAAAGCCGCTAAGTGCGTACTTATACCGTCTAATAATTCCCTTAAGGAACTGGGTGACTTGTTCATTGGTTGTAGATTAAAAATCGCGTGAATATGGTTTTGTACAATAAGTCTTTTATTTTTGTAACGGTCAGTTAAAAGGTTCCATGCGGATTCGTAACTTTCGGCCGAAATTGGTAATAAATCTATGGTACGTTTTGCATCTCCTAACAGGCAACCCTTTAGATAGTGGAATTTTTGAATATTAGAAAGACTACTATTTTCGTGAATAAGAGAAATGAAACTGTCGTAAAATGTCGTCCACTCTGTATATTCGCCGCTGAATTTAGGCAGATTAATTATCGGTAACTGTACGGCGATATTACTAGAATTTTGCGTTTGATGAGGAGCTTCGGTCTCCGGAGTTTGTGCACCGGGTTTTGTTTTTAGTTCAATAATTTTTCGTGCTCTAACTAATAATTCATAATACCTATCTTCAAATGCTTCACGAACATTTGTTTCTTCATCAGATTGACGTAAAATTTCAATTTTTGATTGTACTTCCTCAAACTGTTTTAATAATGGCTTATAATTTATTAATCGTTCTTCCAACAGTAGATAATTGATGTTATTTGCCTCAAATTTGTCTAAAAATGATTCAAAACGCGTTACTGCCGATTTCGTTTGTTTACGAGTTTCCTTTAATTCTTCTACTGTTGGCATTTTGATATAAAAATTCGATCTGAGTAACGGAATGAACTGCAAGTCTGCTGAACTGAAATGTGCGATTTCTAAATCGTTTAAGCACCACAAAACGAATTATGTACGTATAAAATTTGAATTACTGATGTATAAACTATCGCACGAAGAAATGTATACGGTAAAAATTGGAGTAGGACTTGAGGGAAGCAATGACCACTAACCTGATGTGCTGCTGTTATCCACGATTTTTCTCGTGGTTTTTCCACCTGTTTCGTTGTGGAAATCTTGCTGTTGATTCTGAATTCGCCACTAACACTGTTATTCTTGCTGCGGGTTTGTTTCGCCCCAAAACACAATTGCAAATACGGGATTGTTTCACCCAAAACACAAAATTGTTGAAGTACGGGATTGTTTCACCCAAGACACAAAATTGTTGAAGTACGGGATTGTTTCACCCAAAACACAATCGCTGATTCACTATCCGACTCGATCGGACCAAAAATATGTTGCGATAACTCGAAGGACCAATTGTAATAAATACAATAAAAATACGGTGGCGCTTGAATATGTATATTTGTACGATGTTAACAGTCTCAAGTCCAAATTCTTACTCTCCTATTTTTACAAACTATACCTAATTATAAAGACTTGGCCCCACAAAAGGGTGCCGCACCCTCACATTGGGTGATTAAGAAATTCGCTGCAGTCGGGTGAGAGAGCCGCCGTGCAGGTGGCTCGAACAAAATCTAAATCTAAAAAAAAAAAACACTGGAAATCCAAAAAATCTGAAAAATTCGAAAAAATAACAAACCATGACTGAAAAAATTAGCAAAACAACACAGTTCCACTGGAAAAGTCAGAGGTCTGTATTTGGGAGTGCAAAAGTCATAAAAGTCCTAAAAGTTCAAAAGTCCAAAAGTCCAAAAAATCTACAAAGCAAAAAATTCCGATAAGTGCAAGAAATCTAAGAAACGTAAAAACTCCAAATAATTTAAAAAATTCAAGAATACTTATGATATCCCATAATCCAAAAAAAAGAAAAAATTGTAGATTATAAAAACAATCCAAAAAATCCGAAACATCGAAAGGATCAAAAAGTCCATCAAAAGATCCAATAATCAGAAAAAAAGATCAAAAATGTTAAAAAATCGAGAAAATTGAATAAATCCAAATAACAAAACAAAACAAAAACAACAAAATCCGAATAATCCAAAAAAATAATTGAAACCATGACTGAAAAAAATGAACAAAACAGTATAGTTCCACCGGAACAGTCCTACCTCTGTACTGAGTGCAAAGAGTTCAAAAATCCAAAGATTCAAAAAGTCCAAAAAATCTAAAAATCCAAAAAATTTACAAAGCAAAATATTCTAAGAAAAGCATGAACCCCAAGAAACTCAAAAACCTTGGAAATTCAATAATTTTAAAAATCCAAAAATCGGAAAATAAAAATAACGAAAAAGGGAATAACCCAACAAATCCCAAGAAGTCCAAATGAACAAAAAATCGTAGAATATTAATATAAAACCAAAACAATCGGACAAATCCAAAAAATCCAAAAAATCCAAAAAAATGCAAAAATCCATCCAGAAAATCCAAAAAACCCAAAAAATTAAAAAAATTAAAAAACTCCTTAAAATCAAAAAAATCCAAAATATCCAAAAAGTCCAAAAAATTAAAAAAATTCCAAAAAATCCGTAAAATCCAAAACATCTAAAAGATCTAAAATATCCTTAAAATCCAAAAATTCCAAAAAATCCTTAAAATCGAAAAAATCCTTAAAATTCAAAAAATCCAAAAATGCAAAAATCCATCCAGAAAATCCAAAAAACCCAAAAAATTTAAAAAATTAAAAAACTCCTTAAAACCAAAAAAATCCAAAATATCCAAAAAGTCCAAAAAATTAAAAAAATTCCAAAAAATCCGTAAAATCCAAAACATCTAAAAGATCTAAAATATCCTTAAAATCCAAAAATTCCAAAAAATCCTTAAAATCGAAAAAATCCTTAAAATTCAAAAATTCCAATAAATTCAAAAAATCCTTAAAATAAAAAAAATTCAAAAAATCGAAAAACTCCTTAACATAAAAAAAACAAAATACCCAAAAAATGCAAAAAATCCAGAAAATCAAAAAAATTAAAAACTAAAAATCCAAAATGTCCAAAAAATAAAAAAAATCCTTAAAATCCAAAAAATCCTCAAAATCCAAAAAATTCTCAAAATCCAAAAATCCAGAAAATCCAAAAAATTCTTTAAGTCCAAAAAATCCGTAGAATCCAAAAAATCCAAAAAATCTAAAATATCCTTCAAACCTAAAAATTCCAAAAAAATCGTTAAAATCGCAAAAATCCTTAAAACCCTTAGAACTCAAAAAGTTCAAAAAGCCTTAAAATCTAAAAAATCCAAAAAATGCAAAAAATTTAGAAAATACAAAAAATCCTCAAATTCCAAAAATTAAAAAACTTCTTAAAATCCAAAATATCCAAAAAATCAAAAAAATCCTTAAAATCCAAAAATTCCTTTAAATCCTCAAAATCGAAAAAATCCTTAAAATTCAAAAATCCCAATAAACTCAAAAAATCCTTAAAATCTAAAAAATTCAAAAAATTGAAAAAATCCTTAAAATAAAAAAACCAAAAAAAAAAACCCAAAAAATGCAAAAAATCCAGAAAATCAAAAAATTTAAAAACTAAAAATCCAAAATATCCAAAAAATAAAAAAAATCCTTAAAATCCAAAAATCCCCAAAAAATCGTTAAAATCGAAAAGATTCTTAAAATCCTTTGAACTCAAAAAGTTCAAAAAATACTTAAAATCTAAAAAATACAAAAAATCCTGAAATTCCAAAAAATTAAAAAAACTTCTTAAAATCCAAAATATCGAAAAAATCAAAAAAATCCTTAAAATCCAAAAATCGAAAAAATCGAAAAAAATCCTTGAAATCGAAAAAATTCTTTAAATCCAAGAAATCAAAAAAATGCAAAAAATTTAGAAAATACAAAAAATCCTGAAATTCCAAAAAATTAAAAAACTTCTTAAAATCCAAAATATCCAAAAAATCAAACAAATCCTTAAAATCCAAAACTCCAAAAAATGGAAAAAAATTCTTGAAATCCAAAAAATCCTTAAAATCCAAAACCCCAAAAAATTCTTATAATCCAAAAAATCCGAAAAATCAAAAAGGACCAAAAAAATCCAAAAAATCCTTAAAATCCAAAAAAACCGTAAAACGCAAAAAAAAGAAAAATCCAAAATATCCTTAAAATCCAAAAAATCAAAAAATCGTTAAAATCGAAAAAAAACAAAAAATCCTTAAAATCTAAAAAATCCAAAAAATCGAAAAAATCCTTCAAATCGAAAAAATCCTTTCCATCCTTTAAATCCAAAAAATCCAAAAAATGCAAAAATCTAGAAATTACAAAAACTCCTAAAATTCCAAAAAATTAAAAAACTCCCTAAAATCCAAAAATCCAAAAAATCCTAATAGTCCAAAAAATCCGAAAAATCAAAAAGATCCAAAAAAATCCAAAAAGTTCGTAAAATCCAAAAAATTCGAAAAACCCAAAAAATCTCTTAATCCAAAAAAATCCTTTAAATTCAAAAAATTCAAAAAATCCTTATAATCAGAAAAATGCGAAAAATCAAAACGAACCAAAAAAATCCAAAAAATTCTTAAAATCCAAAAATCCGTAAAATCCAAAAAATCCTTTAATCTCAAAAAGTCCT